AAAGTTTACCTGAGAAAATGTTGGAATAAGAGTTACTGATACATTGGATTTGTTGGATGAAATACACGAAGTTAATTTTTGTAACGTGAGGAAAAGCCTGAATTGGTAGATTACATGTGTAAATCACTGCGTTACTGCTTTAGTCATTGTCTCTATCTAGCAATGACAAGACTGGAGGAAGTAAATAAAGAAGTAAACATGCATTCTTCAGTGCGGTACCTTGGCTATTTAGCCAGAATAAACTTACTGGTGGCTATTTGTTTAGGTCTTTATGTAAGATGGGAAAAAACAGCAAATTCTTTAATTTTGGTAATTTTTATTCTTGGCCTTTTTGTTCTCGGAATTGCCAGCATACTCTACTATTATTTTTCAATGGAAACAGCAAGTTTAAGTCTCTCCAATCTTTGGTTTGGATTTTTGCTTGGCCTTTTATGTTTTCTTGATAATTCATCCTTTAAAAGTGATGTGAAAGAAGAATCAACTAAATATTTACTTCTGACTTCCATAGTATTAAGGATATTATGTGCATTAGTGGAGAGAATTTCTGGTTATGTCCGTCATCGACCTACTTTACTAACCACAGTGGAATTTCTGGAACTTGTTGGATTTGCCATTGCTAGCACAACTATGTTAGTAGAGAAGTCTCTGAGTGTCATTTTACTTGTTGTCGCCTTGGCCATGCTGATTATCGACCTGAGAATGAAGTCTTTCCTAGCTATTCCAAATTTGGTTATTTTTGCAGTGTTGTTGTTTTTTTCTTCGTTGGAAACTCCCAAAAATCCAATTGCTTTTGCATGTTTTTTTATTTGCCTAATAACTGATCCTTTCCTTGACATTTATTTTAGTGGACTTTCAGTAACCGAAAGATGGAAACCCTTTTTGTACCGTGGAAGAATTTGCAGAAGACTTTCTGTTGTTTTCAGTGGGATGATTGAGCTTACATTTTTTATTTTGTCAGCATTTAAACTTAGAGATACTCATCTCTGGTATTTTGTAATACCAGGCTTTTCTATTTTTGGAATTTTCTGGATGATCTGCCATATTATTTTTCTTTTAACCCTTTGGGGATTCCATACAAAATTAAATGACTGCCACAAAGTGTATTTTGCCCATAGGACAGATAACAATAGCCTTGATAGAATCATGGCATCCAAAGGGATGCGTCATTTTTGCTTAATTTCAGAGCAGTTAGTTTTTTTTAGCCTTCTTGCAACAGCAATTTTGGGAGCAGTTTCCTGGCAGGTAAGCCTATCTTTTTAATTATGTCAGTGTTTGTGTTATGTGATAAAATGCTAGCTTCTAGAGTTGAAATTGTGATGGTAAGGTTAAGATCTTAGTTTGAAAAAGAGATTCTTTTTCAGTGCTGCTTTAATTTTGTGCCTGGAATTGACACACTGAATTTATTTTGACAGGGTGGTTTAGTTTAATCTCTAGCAAAGAGTTACCAAAATACTAAAAATACTCAATATGTGACAATACTCCCCACTTCCTGGTTGGTCACTAATGAAACAGTTGTACATTAACGAGCCCTTGATATTTAAGTGAACAGTTGAAATTTGTATTTATAGTAATAACCAACCTAGTCTTCTTTTCAGTATTATTAACTATAATAACTGCCACAAACTGCACTGGATGCTGAAGATCTCAAGATGTTTCTGTCCTTAAGGCCTAAGTATAATCTGTAATGTGTGTGTGTGTGTGTGTGTGTGTGTGTGACCAACATGTAAACAGTGTGACAAATGCTGTAATTTGAGGCTGAGGTGTGGGTCTTAACAGAGTATCAACTCAATTTGGTGCAGTTTTCTGCTTTGTACCAGCTATGATGTGATTTATAGATGTGATGTTAAAGGGAAGTTAACATACTTGTCTGGGCATGGTGCTTTCTAGTCATTGTGGGCTGTGGAAGGGAATCTGTGTGGAGTCAGCCAATGCTGAAAACATCTAGGCTGCTGCCTGAGCATATTTGTGGCTCCAGTTCTAGGGACTATCAGAATAATGATGAGGTCAGAAACACCAGCAAGAGATTTTTGTCTCTTTTTTTCTGTGTTACCTCCTTTCTCAGCCTTAACTATTTCTTTTCCACATCAGACTTATTCATGTATGATGCTTTTCCAGGTCATCAAATCCTGTTAACTACTTTCTTGGTCACCATATATTTTTTTTTTCATATACCAGCATCTTCAAATAGAGTAATTTTACCACTGGAAGTAGGCAGAAACTTTCTGAGGAGTAAGTCAGCAAAGATAATTTTAAGATAATCAATTTCCAGATTCTTCTAGTCTACTCCTTGAAGTACTTGAGAATGTCCCCCAGTTCAGAAATGGAATGGTATCTCATTGTGGTGTTACTTTTCATTTCAATAATGACTTAATGCTGAACCTCTTTTAATGTATACTTATCTTGTTAAAATATATTTTAAATCATTTTAAAATTGGGGTATTTATCTTGAGTTTTCAGCATTCGTTATATATTTTGGATACAAGTTCTTTATCAGATAAATGATTTTGAAAATGTTTTCTTCCATTCTGGCTTATTTTTTTTTCTAAGAATGCTTATTATTATTGTTTTTTCAAAGACGAAGCATTTTTAATTTTTTAAAGTTCAGTTTATCAATTCTTTTATGGACTGTGCTTTTTTCTTTTTAAGATTTACTTATTTGGTACAGGGTCTTCCTATGCAGCTCAAACTCATAGTGATCCTCCTTTCTCAGCCTCCTGAATGCTGGGATTACAGGCGTGTACTACCACACCCAGTTTTGGTGGCTGGTATGGGGCAGTGGTGGGAGAGGGGCTGGCATGGCATGTGGTACCAGGGATCGTACCCAGGTACTTGCGTTTGCCAGGCAGGCGCTTAGACTGTTGAGCTATCTCCCTGACCCCTGGACTATGCTTTTGATATCCTACTCAAGAAGTATTTGCACAATCCTAGTTCTAATAATTTTCTTCTGTATTTTCTCCAGAAGCTTTATCATTTTCTTTTTTACATTTATGTACATGATGCATTTTGAGCTTTTTTGTTTTTGATGTGAAGAATCTTAAATTTTTTGTGTGTATATATCTTATTGTTTCAGTATCATTTACTGAAGACCCTTAATTGAATTGCTTAAATATATTTGCCCAAAATCAAATATAAATGTAAGCTATTAAGTGGTTTTATTATATTTTTATGCATATCTTAACGCAGTACCATACAGTCTCATAATTATATTTCCTAATTTACTTTGAAATTTCTTCATATCCATAATTTATTTATGATTTTGTCATGTGAGATACTAACACAGTATTTGGGAATTACCCACATTTCTGTTGTTGATTTCTAATTTAATTCCATATGTTAGAGTATATACTATGCGTAATTCTAGTTTTCTAAATTAAGACTTGCTTGAAGGACTAGCTTGTGTTTTATTTCATCTGTATTTGAAAAGGGTATGTTCTTGGACAGAATTCAGTTAGGTCAAGTTGGTTGACAGTATGGTTCATGTATCAGTATCTGCTAATTTTCTTTCTAGTTCTATCAATGCTAAGAAGCAATATTAAAATCTCCCTTATAATTGCTGATCCATTTCCTTTTTCAGTTGTCTTTGTTTTTCCTTTATACATTTGAAGTACTGTTGCCATAGATAAGATATATCCACTACATTTCCTTAATAACTGATCATTATTAGGTTACAGAGTTTTAGTAGTTTCAGTAGGGGCCATATTGCCTACAAAGCTTAAAATTTTAGCTATCTAGTCCTTTACAGAAAAGGTTTGGCAACCTTTGTTCTTGACCAGTGCTTCTTGTGTGTATATTAATGTTGTGGAGGAACTTAATTTCAAAATACTGGAATTCAGTAACTTTGGGAAAGAGCCTGAGATTTCTATAGATCTCCAGGGTAATGTAGAAGCTCCTGGTCAGCAGTGCACTTGTTGAGTGACTTATTAATTCAGTTCTTCAGGACTAGCATGAATCTAAGTTGTATCTGCATTCCCCAATTAGTTTCTAGATGGTAACTTCTATCTGTGGTGTTGGTATTGTGCCTTGAAAGCATTAACTAATCTATTATAGAAAGATTTCCTAAACTCTGCTTTGCCCAATGTTCAGTGAGAACGAATATACTCACAGGCAAAAAGACATTCAAAGATACACAGAAAGGGAAATATTTCAACACTTATTTGATCATGAAGTTTTTGTTTCTACACATCATTATTTCCATCCTCCCACCTATACAATTTTTAATCTCTATGTTTGATCTTGGACTTTTGACAAAGAGCAAACATTGCCTTTAAATGTAATTCAGAAAACATCAGTTGTATTTGTACAAGTTCCAAACCTTTTAAATGATGGAGTCATCAAATTATACAATGAAACACAAATTATTAAGAGCTTTGTGGGGCTGGGGAAATGGCTCAGTAGAATAAGTGCTTACCTGGCAAGTGCAAGGGCATGAGTTCAATCCCCAGTTCTGCCAAAAAAGAAAAAAAAAAAAAAAAAGACCTTTGTGAGGACAAGACCATTTTAAGGATAGTAACACTGTTAATCTAAATTCCAAGAGCTCTGCCAAATTCTTTAG